GTCGGCTGCTCAGGGGGCACCAGGAATTTAAAAGGGGACACTTAGTTGATGGAGCAAGGGCCAGAGGTGAGGCTTTCTCCTGGGCAGAAGTGCTGGCAGTATCCATTGTTCCTCTGTTGAGCCCTCACCATCCCAGTGTGCAGACGTAGCTCCACCATAGCTGAGACATCATCAAATTGGATAACAGAGGTCACTCTGCCCAGAGGATTCCTTGAGACTCCACCTCACCAACTCACAGCCCCGCCTAAGCCACATCCAGGTGTGTCCTTGGCAAGTCCCATGCTCCTTGCTGAGCCAACTCCAAGACCCACACACGTGGAAGCTGGCCTCAGTTGCTGGTGTGGCCTCTTGAGGCAACAATAAGCACAAGATCTGTGAAAGGCTTGCTGAATTTTAACAGGTGGCCCCAGAGGGGCACAGCCTGGAGCTAAATTTGGCCTGCAGCTGAACCCCTCTCAGGACTGTGCCACTGGACATCTACTACACAAAGCCACGCTAATAAGACCAGAAGACAAGAGTTTTGCTTAATACATAGAAACAGACACAGAAAGGCAGTCAAAGTGGGAAGACAAAGAAGCAGAAACCATATGAGAGAACAGAACAGAGATCTAGGAATAATGGAGTCAAGCAATCTAACAGATGCAGAGTTCAAAACACTGGTTATAAAGATGCTCAATGAACTTAGGGGAAGTGTAGATGAATTCAGTGAGAACTTTAACAAAGAGATTTAAAAAAAACCCATAAAAATGGAATTGAAATTATAAAAGGGATCCAGTCAGAAATGAAGAACACATTATCTGAGATAAAGAGTATAGTAGAGGAAATCAACAGAGTGAATAAAGAAGAGGATTGAACCACCACTACAGAGTGTGGGGAAGCCAAGGAAACTCAATCAGAGGATGGGTAAGCCAAGGACACTCAAGCAAAAAAAAAGAAGCCAGGACTATAATAATTTAAGGAGCCTCTGGGACAAAATTAAATGTAAAAATATCAGTGTCATAGGGGTGCCTGAAGGAAAACAAGAAGTTGAAGAGCTAGTTGAAGAAATAATGATGGAAAACTTCCCTCAGGTGGCAAAGGAAATAGACATACAATACCAAGAAGCTCAGAGTCCCAAAAAAGAGGAGCCCAAAGAGGCCCACACCAAGACATATTATATTTAAAATGCCAAAGGTTAAATACAAAGAGAGAATCTAAAAAGCAGCAAGAGAAAAGCAGTTAGTTACCTACAGGGGAGCATCCATAGGACTGGCAGCTGATTTCTCAAAAGAAACTATGCAAGACAAAACATTCAACGTGATGAAAACCCAGGATGTATGACCAAGAAGACTTTATCCAGCAAAGCTATTATTCAGAGTTGAAGAACAGATAAAAAGCTTCCCAAACAAAAATAAAGGAATTTATCAACATCAAGCTGATATTATAGGAAATGTTGGAGGGACTTCTTTAAGAAGAAAAAGCATATATCAAAAACATGAATAAAGAATGGTATAACTACATTCCTACAAGTACTTGAAATGGAAAAGAATTAAGTGTTCCAACCAAAAGATATGAAAGCTGAATGGATAATAAAGTAAGACCCCTACATATGCTGCCTATAAGAGACTCACTTCAGATTAAAAGACACACAGACTAAAAGGAAGGAGATGGAAAAAGATATTACCTTAATAGAGGGTATTGAGCTGAATGAAATGGGTAGGACAGAGAAAGACAAATATTGCATGATTTCACCAGCACGTGGAATCTAAAGAACAAAATAAAAAACAAAAAAAAAGCAGAAACAAACTCATCAATACAGAGAATATTCTGAGGGCTACTAGTTGAGAGAGGAGTGAGGAGGGGAAGGTGAAAAAGGGCAAAGGGATTAAGAAGTACAAAATAGACATGGAGATATAAAGAGAAGCATAAGGTAATAATTAACAACGTTGTAATAAATATGCAAGGAGGAAGAGTGGGGTGATCACTTTGTGAGTTATATAGATCTCTAATCACTATGCTATACACCTGAAACTAATATATTATTGTATGCCAACTATAATTGAAAAAAAAATTCACTGAATTGTACAAAGTAAAGCTGAGCAGCTAATTATCTATTATATTTCAATAAAGCTGGGTAAAAAAATCATAAGAGGAAAAAAAAAAGAAACAAAAAAAAAGCAAATTAAACCGAAAGCAAGCAGAAGGAAGGAAATAAAAATTCAAGTGGAAATCAATGAAACAGAAAATGCAAAAACAATGGAGAATGTTAATTAAACCAAATGTTGGTTATTTCAAAAAATTAACAAAATTGACAAATATTTATCTAGATAGACCAAGGGAAATGAGAGATGATACAAATTACCAAAATCAGAAATGAAAAACTATGGAAATGTAGAGGATTGCAAGTGAATACTATAAACAACTTTATGCCAACAATATTAGATATCTGACATAAAATGGACAAACTCCTAGAAAGACGCAAATTATCAGAGCTGGCTCAAGAAGAAATAGAAAACTTTAATATCCCTATAACAAGTTTAAAAAATTGAGTTAGCAATTTAAAAAAACTTCAAGCAAAGAAAGCCAAGACCCAGATGACCTACTTCATTGGTAATTCTACCAAACATGTAAATAAAACAAAATACCAATTCTTTACAAACTCTTCTAGCAATTCATTCTATGAGGACAGTATTATCCTGATACCAAAACCAGACAAAAGAACACAAGGAAAACTTCTCGACAAAATATTACCAAACCAAATCCAGCAACATATAAAATGTATTATTCACTATGACCAAGTGTAATTCATCCCAGAAATACAAAATTGGTTTAATATTCAAAGATTAATTAATGTAATATATCCTATTAACAGAACAAAGACAAATACCACACAATCACCTTAACAGACACAGAAAAAGCATTTGACAAAATCCAATCCCTATCCATGATTTAGAAAAAGGAAAGCTCAACAAAGAAGGAAAACTTCCTCAACTTGACAAAAAGCATCTATGAAAATCATACTTAATAGTGAAAGACTGTTATCTCTCTAAGATCAAGAATAAAGCAAAGATATTGGCTTTCACCACTTCTATTCAATGATATACTTTAGGTTCTATTCAGTGGAATCAGGCTAGGAAAAAGTAAAAGGTTATTTAAATTGGAAATGAAGATGTAAAACTGTCTTTATTCATAGACAACCAGACAACATAATCTCATATGTAGAAAATCCTAAGGAATTCACAAAAATCTATAGAGCTAATAAATTCAGCAAGGTCACAAAATATAAGCTCAAAATACACACAAAAAAACTGTATTTCTAGCAATGAACATTCAAAAAATAAAATTAAGAATACAATTCTATTCAGAATAGCATCAAAAAGAATAAAATACTTAGGAATAAATTTAACCAAAGTGTAAGGCTTGTACACTGAAAACTACAAAACATAGTTGAAAGAAATTACAGATCTAAATAAATGGGTAGACATTCTAGGTTCATAGACTGAAAGACACAAAATTGTTTAGATGGAATTTGTCTCCAGATTGATCTACAGATTGTCATAATCCCTATCAAAAATCCCAGCAAGTATTTTTGCAGAATATGGCAAGCCAATCCAAAAATTCAAACACAAAAGCAAAAGCAAAAGATCAGAATAGCCACAACAATTTATAAAAAGAAAAACAAAGTTGGAGAACTTACATTTCTCAATTTCAAAACTTATTAAAAAGCTACAGTAATCAAAAGTGTAATTTTGGCATAAAGATAGACACATAGATTAATGGAATATAAATGAGAGTTCAGAAATAAACCCTTACATTTACAGTCAATTGATTTTCCACAAAAATGCCGAGACAGTTCAATAAGGAAAGGATAATCTTTTCACCCAATGATGCTAACACAACTGGATACTCACACTCAAAAAGACTGTTATCCCACACCATACACAAAAATCACTCAAATAGGTGGTTCATAGACCTAAATATAAGAAAACTAAAAAGCTCCTAGAAGAAAACATAGAAAAATAATCTTTGTGAGCCTGGATTAGACAAAGATTTCTTAGGCATGCTACTAAAGCATAATCCACAGCAGAAAAACTTATCAATTGAATTTCGTCAATATTAAAAACTTTTGCTCTTCAATAGATACTATTAGAAACATAAAAAGAAAAGCCATAAACTGGCAGAAAATATTTGCACACATCATACATGTGATTAAGGACCTATATCCAGGTTACTTTAATAACTCTTACAACTCAGTATTAAGAAGTCAAACAACCCAACTTCTCATTCATCTGTAACTTAAATACCGTTTCTCTTAATCTTCCCTTTTTAGTGAAAAGGTCGTTTGTTATCCCTGACGGTCAGAAGCCAAACTGTTTAAATCTGCCTCTTTTTCATCACCTATCAAGATTTCCACAACCATTCCCAAGAACCTGTCTAAGCATCCATGTTT